GTGGATTAGTGCATTAGAAGATGTCGTGTGCATGGTGAGTAGTAAATAATGTTGTTAGAGAGCTTTAGATTGGAGGACGAGGACAAAATTCATCTTGAAGTTTTTCTCGCGAGTTTTCTCAAAAATTATACACCCCCAGAAAACTTTATTATTTTACTCTCCCGCTGATACAGTCGACTCCCGATAACTCCAACCCTCGCTAACTCGAATCTCGCGCTAACTCGAACCAAAATCGATTTCAATACCAATTTCAAGACTGAGGCACACGTGTCAACTCCGCGGTAGGGCCAGTACCTTACGTATGCGCACAACTATATCACCCGGGCAGTGGCAGCCATGTACACCTGTTTCACCCTTACTGGGGCTCATCAACATAGCATAGTCGTCGAGTCAATGGACGTGCGATCCCGTGTCTCAAAGAGAAATAAGCAATAAAGCTTCAAATGTTGCAAGTAGAAGTGAATTAGGACGATTGCCATTAATTATTAATATCTACAAAAACATTCCTTATTTCATATTGTATCTTCTGCGTAAAAACGAGGATACTATTGTTAAACAAGCCTTTCGTACCTCCGAGAGCTTCACTATAATGGTAAAAATAGCTTTTACCATAATCTTATCAAAATATCTGAATATCTTAACCTGCCCGATTTTGATCCTAATAATTTAAGTGAAGCTAAGATCAACCATTATATATATATAAATACAATATAAAACAAAAAATATTACATATTGGCAACATACAATCGTTCTAATAGCACATATTTCACATAAAAGAAAGTGTTGATTGACAAATTTGTTTTCTGTTCACGTATCCCTGGATTGTAAAGCCAAGGTCGCAGGAAGAATAAAAAGTATTTCAATCTTAACTATACTCCGCTACAAATTAAATGTCAAAACAATTTAAGTGTCACCGTAAATTTTACATTTGTGTCAAATGTAGTAACCTGAGTTAGTTAAATCATTTGATAAAAAAAAGAGCTGAAAGAAAAGACAGTTGAATTTAAAGAGGAAGTATGCAACATTTTTATCGAGTCTTAACTAAACTGGGAACTTCAAGCGTTGAGTAGTTATTAACTGTACGAGGGAAAGGAAACTGTGTTAGAGCAAACAATAACAAAAATCAATATCAATTTTAAGTTGATTGCAGTTAAGTCGTTAATAAAAACATGTTTAAGCTTTAAAGGGCCACTTGACACTAACAAACTACTGTACGTAAGATCCTGAATAAGTATGAACGTGACAAAATGTTCATTTCAAGACGAACGTGCCTTCAAGTCGTTGTACTATTCTAAGCTATTAGCTTTGTGGTCCATTTTAATTAATGCTTCAAACACCATGCATAAATTGTTATCCTTATTATGTTATTCTTTGCAGGAAGTGGTCAGAAATTCCAGGTGACAACCTACAGAACGAGACTCATGGAAGCGAAACGAGATTTAAAATGGAAAAGGAACAGGTCGAGTAATGGACGTTGTACATTCAGCTTAGCTTAAAGCTAATTCTAGACAAAAAAAATAGAAGCTTCTCACAGGCTTCGATCCTGGGGAAAATTATAGAGTTAGCGTGCGAAGCAATGGTGTTTGGAATTAGTTTTAGTTTCGAACGAAAGGTGGAGGAGGTCACGCACATGCGTCACACGCGTGATAAAATCGCACGCTTAACGCGCCAGAATCCGCCACGCATTGAGCTATTCGTGCTTTGTGAGCAGCGATCAAAGTAAAAAAGCGAATGCTTTGCAGTCTGCCTATTGCTACGGTCCTGTAATCTTAAGTAGTCGTTTGGCAACTCCGGCAGCCTCAATGCGATTTCTCCAGCCTTTTCTAATTCCAAATTCCATGGTTTTGAGGGGTCTATGTGCAAGCAAAGTCTCTCAAATGTGAGGATGGGATGAGGAGAAGGAATGGAAGGAAGGAAAGTTTAGAAATGAAACCCTTCCCCCTCCACTACTACCGATAACTTGCTCGTGGCCTACAAATCCAGAGAGAGAGACGGACCTCTTCACCCCCAGGTGACGCCGCTGCGGCTCCTTCAGCGCCAAGGTCAGCGAACAGGACGAATCCGTCGATACTAAATCTCAGACTCCACTTATTAATTAATAATTTTAATAATTTTATTGATTTGTATTGCGCAAATATCAATCCAGGGAAAGAAATTTTCATTTTTCTTATTACTGTTTGCTTAACTCTTCCGTACTGCTACCCTATTATTCTAGACACCTTTTTTGTTTATTTCGGACAACTCGTACTCTTCGTCTTGTTCTTGTTCTTGTTCTTCTTATTATCCTTAATCATCATCATCATTATTGTTAGTATTACTTCTGTCAGGGGCCAGCTCCTGGTAATCAGTTGTAAAAAATACGTTCGGTACAAATGAAGCTGTTGTTGTTGTTATGAAAAAAAAAAAAACACTCACCTTGTCCCACCCATCACTTTTTCCCTAAAACAGGTCTGCCTAGGCACAAACCTCTGCATCGCTTCTCCTTCCGAGGTGACAACAATCGGGAATTTAAATGGTCTGCAAGACTTTATTAGCGCTATGAATTGCACGTGCGCGCCTCGTGAAAGAGGCTGCAGGCGTTTGTCCGCTGAACATGTGCAATTCAGAGGAACTAAGTACGAAACAAGAGTTGATGTGGATTAGTGCATTAGAAGATGTCGTGTGCATGGTGAGTAGTAAATAATGTTGTTAGAGAGCTTTAGATTGGAGGACGAGGACAAAATTCATCTTGAAGTTTTTCTCGCGAGTTTTCTCAAAAATTATACACCCCCAGAAAACTTTATTATTTTACTCTCCCGCTGATACAGTCGACTCCCGATAACTCCAACCCTCGCTAACTCGAATCTCGCGCTAACTCGAACCAAAATCGATTTCAATACCAATTTCAAGACTGAGGCACACGTGTCAACTCCGCGGTAGGGCCAGTACCTTACGTATGCGCACAACTATATCACCCGGGCAGTGGCAGCCATGTACACCTGTTTCACCCTTACTGGGGCTCATCAACATAGCATAGTCGTCGAGTCAATGGACGTGCGATCCCGTGTCTCAAAGAGAAATAAGCAATAAAGCTTCAAATGTTGCAAGTAGAAGTGAATTAGGACGATTGCCATTAATTATTAATATCTACAAAAACATTCCTTATTTCATATTGTATCTTCTGCGTAAAAACGAGGATACTATTGTTAAACAAGCCTTTCGTACCTCCGAGAGCTTCACTATAATGGTAAAAATAGCTTTTACCATAATCTTATCAAAATATCTGAATATCTTAACCTGCCCGATTTTGATCCTAATAATTTAAGTGAAGCTAAGATCAACCATTATATATATATAAATACAATATAAAACAAAAAATATTACATATTGGCAACATACAATCGTTCTAATAAACTACAATTTTACAGCATATTTAAACATGATTTTAAAATTTCAAGTTATCTAGACTTAACCAGCAATTCAACCAAAAGGAAAGACTTAATGAAAATTCGTATAAATAACCACAAACTCATGATTGAAACTGGAAGATATAATCAAACTCCCCACAACGATAGATTCTGCCCTGTTTGTAACTCTGGTATCATTGAAGACGAATTTCATTTTCTCTTACATTGTCCAATGTAATCAGTCCCAAGGGAAAAATTCTACAGTCAAATCCAACATAATTTTGTTGATTTTAATCAGCTATCTTGCACAGAATTAATAATTAAATTGATGAAATCACAGAATTGTTCTGTAAATTCACATTTCTTAAAATTTATTTCATTAGGTAATGATTTACGTATTGATAATTTGTTATCAAATCACTGACTGATGACACTTGATTGGCCATTTTAATCATTATTGCATTGTATCGATCATTAGTGTAAATTGTAACTTTATCTTAAAGCTTTTTCAATACTGTAAATATATAGTAATGCAAATAAAGCTTATGTTGTTGTTGTATTACATTTAATCGAAAAAGCCCGCCCTCAAATCACCTTGGCATCTTTAACTAGCAAAATCAATAAGCACCGCAGCGCTCTTTCCAAATTTCGATCCGATTTTTTTACAATTTGGTTTGCGCGAACTTTACTGACTGAAGTTTAATTCGCAGCCTTGCAGACTCAGTTAATGGAAGTATCACGTACGTACTCTACGATAAATAAAATTTAAAGTTAGTTATGGAGATACTTTATTATCACTTTCATCACACTTATTTAAATACCATACTGCTAAGAAGAAATGAAAGTTCAAACCTTGTTTTGTTTTGAACTTTCATTTCTTCTAAAGACGGGTTTTAAACTTATATCAATATGCTTCAAGCTTACATCAGCAATGGTAATCAACATATTAAAAGGTCTGATTAGCAAAACTTAATAAGCGCTGCTACATTATTGGGAAATGCGGCACTCTCGCTTGAATGGGTTGAATGCAGGAGAAAAATATGTTTATTCGAAAGAGTGCCGAGGCGTTTATTTATTTTTCTTCTTCTCCTGTGCGACTCTTACTTGAGGTCGGCGCGCTTTCGATTAAATGCAGTAAAACATTGAATTTTAGAAAGAGCGCCGCGGCGCTTATTGCTTTTCGATTTAAAAGATGTCAAGGAGAATTCGCGTGGCGCTGTTTTGATTAAGTGCGTTTTTTCCAGCTGTGTTGTGCCAGAAAGTGTCGGGTTTGTGTCATGGAGTGTGTGTGCGTGTGTAATTTTTGGCGCTGGTAGCCGGGGAAGGGGGTTGTGGGGATGCATCAAAGGGCTATTGATAAAAAATTCCAGGACTGTTCCCTGGAGAGAGACGTATCTTGGAAAAAATATAAATGAATGATTGAGACAGAGGAAATCAGAACAAAAAGGTGTTGTCTTGAGCAATGCGTTTATTCTATTTAATTTCCACAAAATATTTGTCCACGCAAGAATTAAGCCTTCACTTAAACAACAGTTTCTATTTAGCGTTGTAAAGGACACTGATCATTGACTATGAAGTGAAACATGAGGTATTTTTGACGTTGCATGTGTATACTCATTGCACCAGGATGTAGCCCATCGCTTTAATGTTTTTGCTACCATTGTCTGGTTGAAACTGCTCGGCCATGTTTCCACAGGTGTTGTCATCATAAGGATAACCACCAGTACCAAACCCAATGCTGGAATCAGGGGAATTACACTGGTTTTGTTCGTTACTTATGATACCTATTCTTGCTCTGCCTCGCTCTTGGAACGTCTGAGAATTGAACCCTTCTTTGTTACAATATCTCTGCAGCGATGCCTGTTGGCCAATCAGCTGCTTCCAGGTGTGACGACCCAGTGACGTCGAACGGTAGATTCCGTCAGCGATCAAGGAGCGTAAGGAGTTGGCTTGTTTGTTGATGACGATCGAATTAACTTGATTGCCGATCTTCATAGCGAGGCAGATCTTAGTGAATGGTGTGCTCCAGTAGGTGGGTAATTTTGTTTCTTGATGATCAAGCAGGGTCTTTCCCGCAGAGGGATAATGGTCCATCTTGTCGGTCCACAATTTTGAATCGTAATGAAAGGTATTCTAACAGATAAAGAATGATATATCGTCAATTAACAAACTGTTTTCACATGACATCACAGCAGTCACATTCTGCTCCAAAAGTTTGTAAGACTATCCAATTTGGCCTTCTGGGCGCTGGGGGTCAACTACATCCAACCTCCTCCCCCTCCCCAAGTAGTTTTGAGAATATCTAGGCTAAGACAACCAAACCCGGGTAAGAATTAAAATAATGTAAGAAAATACCCCAGCCAGGTAAATGACGTGACATGGCGAGATTCCTCTAAACATTTCGCTGTGATGATGGTCAATGGCCGCCCGTCTCGGTGTACTAATGAGCCAGTGTGAAGAGGCTACATTATATGACTGGCCGTTTTACGACCCGTCAAGATGAAAAGAATCCTGTTGTCTGTGCGAGAAACAATTTCCTTTTTGGCCATGTAATAAATCCTTGATTTGCCAAATCTTCGGTCAAGAGGAATGGATACTGAGCTGCCGGGTTCTTTTTCGCGTTTTTATGGACCTCAATTCATAAAAACGCAAATAAAAAGGAACTCAGCCAAAATCGAGCCAAATTAGCCTCATGGTTTGTCAGTAAAGCCCTACTCTTGTAAGAAACCTTCGCGGTAACATTTTTGCGAGCGGCACACAAGATTCTCCTCACGGGCTATCTCGGATCGCCCACTTTTGGGCACTGACTGACATTATTAGGGATTGAAATATGCCAAAGGGTAAAAATTAAATAAAATCAATTTCCGTACAAAAATTCTGCTCCTTCATTGTAAAACTAACAATTCATCTGAAACTATCAACCTTTCAGAAAAAAAAAGTTTTGTTCGTGCGCTATTAAAAAAACTGGCCTAAGGATTGCACTGGATTGAGATCAAGCCCTTTGCCCCCTTCATACCAAAGCTTAAAATTTACCTAAAAGCTAATTTTAAACATGAGCCGGAATGGTTTACACAACAGACTCCCATACCGTGCGGTCCAGTATGGATTGGCAATTTCCAAATTTGATATTTCAATACCTGTACCCCCAGCCAAAAGCTGACGGTATGTTCACTTCCTTTCAGCTAATTGTTTAAAAGCTGTTTAGTTACTTTCCTAAAACCAGCTCCGCTGTTCACTTATGTCCAAGATTGCAATCTGTCGCAAAACTGATTTGCTAGCAATTCTCGGTCGCAATTTTAGCAAAAAATAGTTTAAAGGAAACTGCTCGAGGTTGATCGATGGGTCATTTAACAATTATTCCACGAGTGCGCGTTGGATATGAAATGGTGGATTAGCCAACGAGGCGCGTAGCGCCGAGATGGCTATAATCATCTCATATCCAACAAGGGCGACTAGAATAATTGTTTTATCAAGAACGCCCACAAAACAGTATCAAGAATTCTTCCCAACTTTATTTGTAAAAACAACCGATTTTCAGCTTGTTTTTAATTTTGAGCAGACGCGTACAGTTACCATATTTGTAGAGCATGGTATAATTAACAATTATTCTTTGGAATCGAGTTGAATAGTGGCAAAATATTTACCGAGACACGAAGTGGCGAGGTAAATATTCCTAAAGCCACTATTCACCGAGATTGAAAAGGATAATTATTTTAGTATATACACACGAAGTGATCTCAACAAAATCAGAGAGGAAACCATCAAAAAGTACGATTTGATTGACAGATCAGGTCAGCTAGACACGCGACAGTTTAAAAATAGATCTTTGTAAAATTTTCAAACATGGGAATTCACAACCTTATCACTTCGCAAACAACAGCGTAATGACTTAAATGGGACCTCTAAAAGTTTGAATTGTTTCCTTATCTGAGAAGAAAAGAAGTGCTTTGTTGTTTTCTGTTGACTCGCAAAGTTTATAACCGAAAAGGTTTGTGGTGTCGTTCTTCGCATGAAGTGCTGGTAAAAATGGCGATTCGGTTCCTCGAGGTAAGACGTCGTCTTCATGTAGCATTCTTCAGCGGCACCCAACGAGAATATAGTTCAAAATCACTTAAACATGGCATTGTTAAACGTATTTTGTATTTAAACGGTAGATATAGGCATATTTTTATCCCCTAAAAATTCTTCATCAGTTCGGATTTCCTAGCTGAAAGTCTAGTGATCCTTAACTTGTAGGGATCCAAACTTACCTTTTCGAAAATTTCAGCCAGAAAAAAAGCTCCCGTGTGTTTTTCTTGCCTGAAAAAAAGTCAACCCTAGGATTTTGTCGACTTTTAAAAGATCTTTCTCTAAGAAAATGGGAAAAAAACGGAGCTCACACATTATCCACTCGCTAGGAGGTGAATATTGTTGAATAGTCCGAGATAGCGAACCAATCAGATTGCTTAACTCACCAAAATCACTGAGTGTGTATATACTAATGGCTCATATACCATAATAGCTAAGCCAATCAGTGCACTAGAATTGCATTACCCAATTAGTCAGTTTTTAATAATAGGCAATATACCATAGAATCGATCATGTATATTCAGTCCTACATCTTCCAAATATGGTAAACGGCGGATGGTTATGAAGAATTAGTCGAGGGATTGGAACCAATCATGAACTCGGGCAATATATTATCAATGAATACTACTAGTGATAGTTGACTCTACAGCTGCCCCCGTTCTGTATATTGTCGGTCAATGGTATTCTTGCTCGTTGTGTAGCTCTTTGAAATATACCGATTCATAATGAAGATTTTCACACATATTCAATATATAATAGGTGAGATAAATACAGGAAACGCAAGGTTCCATGCACAGTTTCAGTTCGATTTACACAGCTTTGATCAAAACATTCTCAGTTTCGAGAATAGTTTATTCTAAACCATAAGAAAAGATTTAATTAGAAGTTGAATTTTTGGCTATTTCTCTTTCACTTTTTACATTCAGTTCATTTTATTTGCCGGAAAGGAAGCCTTAGAAATTAAAAGGACCTTTGATCAGTTCACAGTCACGCATTCTAGTCTTATTTTAAACTTTATAGCGGAAGGACATCTGTGAGCAGGGAATACATCAGCACAGAATTTGATTGTCGGCGAATTTTTTGTAATCGTCCATCGTTCTGCTAGTGATAAGCTAGCCGTTGTTCACTCGTCTTGCTTGTTTGGGGCTGAGTCTTATTGCGGTCAAAGCGAGAAAAAGAGTGTCTGGCAAGGTTTCCAAACAAAAAATTGTGAACTCGTGTCTGGCAAACTCTCTATATATATACACAGTTATACGCACCTTAGAACTTATCTGCGCTTAACGAGTGACTTTTGGTCCATAACTTCCAAAACAACGGCTACACAAAATGTCACTGATAATACGTAACGCAAAAGAGTATCGAAGTATGACTGCACAATAAATGTCACAAAATCTACCTAACCGGTCCCCTCGCAATTTTCTGTCTTTACGTCATCCTAACCATTTCGTACTTGCGGGCGCAAACAATAGAAACGTCATCATTACCCACCGATTCCTCGCGGCCCCTGTTCAAGCAAGTCGAGATTTTTTCTGGCATGCTGACTGTATATTCCAACTGTAAGTACTTTCCTTAATATACGCGCGAGTTACTAGAGTGCCTCCTCGGGATTTCGCCTTCTGGGCGAAATCCCTGCGGGGGCAAAAATTGTTGCATCGCTGCTGCTGCTACCTTTTTGCCATCGGTCTTCATGACGAGCGTCCATCCACCTCCTCCGCATGCTCCAAGCTCAGCAGCTTCCATGTGACAGTACACAGGAATTAGTTTAGACTCCACATTCAGGAAATAGGCTTTGTTTTCACGTTTCCTAGTAAATAGATATTTATATAATGATATATTTTTGAGGCACTGCATGAAATCAAGCAAGATTTGTTTTCTCTGCATGTTTTAGTAAGTGACCGTCCTCACATTCAATCAGATGCAATAAACGATTGGATTTAGAGACATAAAAAGAATAAGTATAAACAAGAATATGACAATCTTTCGCACGTCGCGGACAAAACTGACATTTGGTATGGAGCAATGTCGACCTTACAACAAAGAAAAATTTAATGAACAATAGTCCAGTTTCGAATTAAAAATTACCGCTGAATACAAACATTAATGGCACATTTATACAGGGTTAGCCTCAACGTAAAGTAAAATATTCAGAAATTCCGGCAAGTATTACTAAGTGTTTAAAATTTGAATATGCACAATAGACAGAGTAATAAATAGGTCTTTTTCTCGTTGGAATTTGTGAATATATTACTTCAGATTGAGGCTAAGCCTGTAAAAAATGCGTCTTCACTTCTTTAATTCAGCGGTCATAGCGAACTCGAAACTGGACTATTGATATACCTCGACAGACGCACGGTTACAAAATTAGCACCAGCCGAATGCAGCCAAGGTTGTTTGAATCGGGTGGTGCGGCCTAAAAAAGAATTATGTATCCGCTCCAAACGCAGTAGAAAGGATAGTTAGGCCGTTGAAGCCAGAAATGTGATAACTGACAGCAAATGTAAAAGTTTTCAAATGTAATGCAGATGAACCACAAGAGTAATAAGGTCCTCAAATGAAATGAAAACCTTAGTTGCTTGAAAGAGCGCCGCCCTCGAAAAAAAAAAATTAAAAAGCGCTCTCGCGAATAAATACAATTTAATCGGAAGAGCACCGCATTTCCTGGCTAGCAACTCTGCAGCCCTTATTAATTTTTTAATAAAAAACAGCGGAGTCACCTTATCCACTTTAACCCACATGGGCCCACAGTTATCCGCGGGAGGGTACTCCCTTATATAAGCCATATAGGTGTGTGCCGCTCCAAAGACTATGGTTTTTGCGCTATTTTTGGTCTGAAAATGGGTATAGACTTTGCCCATTTTGTCTCGAATCGGGTATGGTTTTCGAGGGGAATACGGGAGTATATGAACGTATTTAATAAAGTAAATCAAGCTTAGTTGCGTAGCGTCCTAAAACAAAACTAGCAGCCGCTAACCGGAACGTTGAAACTCGCTCGAGACCCTTTCCATTTGCGCAGAGATTGATGGAGTGTCCGTCTAGTCCATGAATTCGTGACATCTGGGGAGTTGAAAGAAGCATCATACTTTAGTCCTTTTAGGGTTGAGCGTCAGGTTACATCTGGATGACCAGGTAGACAGCTTAGCAGCCGCTAACTGTACTCGCTGAAGTCTCTTAACAAGATAATCTGCTATAGTATCACTGACAATGTCATTATAATCGATCTTTGACAAAATAAGACACTCTGCCAAGTGTTTTCTGGCATTATACGGTGCACGGTATTTCAACTTCTTCAGTACAGACAAAGTTCTGTAACAACTTGAGATCTTGGAGTTTCTCTCTCTTTTCCAGTTGACAATTTCGTGCACTTCCGTACCAAGTAGGCGGAAAGTTGAAACTCGCTCGAGACCCTTTCCAGAGATGGAAGGAGTGCCCTCTAGCCCATGAGTTCTTGACATCTGGGGAGCTGAAAGAAGCATTACTTTGGTCTTTTTAGAATGGAGAGCCAAGTTACATCGGGATGACCAGGTAGACAGCTTGTCCAGCGCAACCTGCATCTCCGCCTGACAACTCTGAAGCTCAGATGGCTTAGAGTGACTATAAATCGTAATATCGTTCCCATATTGATGGCAATTTACTTCGGTTGGGAGTACGTCAGTCAAGTCGTTGACATAAAGGTTGAATAAGAGGGGACGCAAAATGAATCCCTGAGGTACCCCAAAAGACACATTTATGCGCTCCGACCAGAGATCATCGATTTGGACGTACTGCGTTCGATCAGTCAAATAACTCACAATCTAATGTAGAGAGGACTTGGAAAACCCTAGCTTACGCAATTCGAACAGAAATGTCTCATACACAACTGTATCAAAAGCTTTAGAAAAGTCCTCCATAATTGCAACGGTGACCTCACCTCTGTACATTGCCTTGGGGACATCATCTCTTATTGCAAGCAAAGTAGTTGTAGTTGAGTGGCTTTTGCGATATGCACTTACGTTTGGCTGAAGCGCAGCAGTTTCCGTGAGAAAATCCACCATTTGACGTCAAGACAGTCTTTCATAAACCTTTGATAACACAGGCAAAATGAAAACAGGGCGAAAATCGTCGTTTGCCTGCATGGGGTTCGCTTACCTTCGGAATGGACTAATGCGTGCAACCTTCCAAAGAGTTGGAAAGTCCAGTTTCGAAATGCACGTGTTTAAGATATGCGTTAAAGGCGATGCTTAATGGTCTGAAACTAGCTTGATGAATTTGGTTGGAATGTTATCCGGACCAGTAGGGCAGTCGGACCACAGCGCTTTGCTCTCCCGAATAACTTCATGATAGGTAACACTCTTCAGACCAAAGGACGTATCAGGGTCATGCGCAAGCGCATTAATACGCGTATGCAGCTCCTCCTTATCAACTGCCACTGAGGCATCGACACGCTCAGCTGCAAAAGCAAAGTGCTCATCCAATTCATCGGGATAGACAGTTATTGATTGATGGCTAGGGTGAAGTATGCAATGGATCGTCTTCCATACTTCCTTATGCCGCTTAGACGAGAGTGCATTGGTCATAAACCTTCTCTTTGCTTTCCCAATCAGTTTCTTAAGACTGTTAAGGGAGTCTTGGAAGATATCCCACACAGCCTCACTGTGAGGGGGTGTGTGTGCTTCCCTATGATAACGCTTGGGTGCCTCCTGCAGCGTTCGAATGTTCGGATCATTCAACCAGAGCGCAGGTTGTCTGTCACCCTCACACGCTTTAAGGGTGTATGTCACTCTAAACAGTCCGAAATAAGAGTATTGAACGCGATTACTTGTTCGTTAGGATCCTCTAATTAAAGCATAAACTACTTTAAAAGAAGTTGAGTGAAATCGTCCCTGAACTATTTTTCGTACCTAATAACCTTGTATCTTGGAGTGAAACGGATGACAAGCGCATTGACTGTGCATCACACGTGACAAACACTTTGCTGGAAAACATTAACAAAGGACTATTAACTGGCCTTATATTTTTAGACCTAAGTAAGGCCTTTGACACCTTAGATCATAGCATCATGTTAGATAAGTTAAGTTCACTAGGAATGAATCGCTCTGCTGTCCAATGGTTTAGGTCCTATTTAACCATGCGCACCCAAAGTGTTTGCACTAATGGGGTCTTCTCTGAGCCCCAGCTTATATCTTTTGGGGTCCCCTAGGGTAGCGTACTTGGCCCTTTGTTATTTATCATCTAGACCATCTACATAAATGACTTACCTCTGGCTGTAGCGTCGAGCTTTACCATGCTGACGATACACTTGTCTATTTTGCAATCAAGTCAGTCAGTGAAATTCAAGCTCAGTTAACTAGTGGCCTAACTTAAGCTGCTTTCAAGCTAATTTTCTAATACTTAATCTTGATTATGCTTGTTGGTACTCATCAGAGCACCGCGGAGGCTGACGATCCAGTAATAGAAATCAGTAACACGCTTTTAGAAAGAGTTAACAAGTTTAAATATCTTGGGGTCCTAAACAACACCTTATCTTTTAAGGACCACATAGAATATATGAGTAATAAGATCTCGTCTAGCCTATTCTGCGTCGAGTACGTAAGGTTCTTTCCAAGCCAACTTGTGAAATGCTCTCCAATAATATAGTCTTGCCATTGTTCGATTAATGTTCGCCTGTCTGGGACAGCTGTGGGGTTGGGGGCAAAGCTTAATATCTAGATAAACTAGATAGACGCGCCGCATATATTATTATAGGTCGATCTATCGGGGCTGAGGAGTTAAAATCAACACTTGGCTGGCCCAGCCTACAAGCACACAGAAATTATCTTAAATGCGTCTTAGTCCATAAGTGTCTTCACGGAATAGCGCCTTCGTACTTACTGGCAGAGTTTAGGCACGCGCACCTTTTCCATGGCGATAACACCGGAAGCCGTTATTTGCTGCGCCCTCCCTTCGCAAAAAATACTAAATACCAAGGTAGCTTCAGAATAACCGGTGCTCGGACCTACAACACCCTACCGAGTATCATTAGACAAGTAGTGACCCTCGGAGAATTTAAAATCAAGCTAAAGCGCCATTTTAAACAGTAACGCCTGCAGTACATGTTGCCTTTGTAACTTAATTAATTCTCTAGTTTTAATGTATTTGTTTTTGTGTTGTGTTAGGGCTCCATCTCACTAGCTCTGCTAAATTGGAGGCCCCTGGATAAATATTGATTAAAAAAAAACATATGACGCGTCGTGATCGTTAACGAGTGTACATGGGAGAACATCAATATGTGTAACGCGTCTAGGAAGATTGGTAATAACGTGATCAACAAGCGTTTGACTGGACTTCGTAGTTCTTGTTGCTTTGGTGACGACTTGCTTCAGGTTCAGTGATCCGAGGGCATTTCAGTGTACCTCTTGACATCAAATGTTTGTTGTTTGATCATATCGATGTTTACATCGCCTGCCAAAATCAGAATCCCATGCCATGAAGCAAAAGTTCACTGAGAAGATGGTCAAGTCTCTGTAACCTGCCGGAGATATGCGTTTGACTGTCAGCCAGATATTAAATACTGCCAAACAGAATTTTGCTGTTCTTGTTTTGGCCGGGAAAGGCTCCATCCACCAGTGTTTCCAATTCCGCATACCAACGCCTCTCAATAGTGAGCAAACCTGGACTGCGACCAAGCGGAAGGAGTGCTAGGCCGAGGAGAAATGGAAACGGAGTCAACCCTTTCCCACGAAAATTTATTTATAGAAAGAGCTTTCGCGGAACATTTTTCACGCCTTCTTAGTAATATCCAATCAGAGCAGAGCAGAGTTCCCGGCTCTTGACAACCGGCAAGTAAATATTGAAAATCAAGCTCTTTAGTGACCTTATTTTAGTGGTTAACTCGCTTCTACAATGCTTTGGAGCTTTTTACTACGTCCACAAAGGAGCACACTGCATTGACCCACCGTTATTTTTGAAGTCAAAACTATGCTATGCTCTACATGGACTACATCTTTCGCTTGTGGCTGCCGTAATTGTGCGCGATCTGGGATCGCGAATTATGTACAGAGTACTGTATAAGCGAAATTACTGTGGCAGTGAATAAAAACGGCTCTAAGAGCTTTTGATAACATAGTTCTAACGGCAAATATTTCAAGAAGATATATCAAACAATAAGGAAACTACAAAAGAAAATTATAAGAATAATAACTTTTTCAAAATTTACAGACCATAAAAGTCCAGTCTTTAAAGAGTTATTAACTCTACCTTTAGATGACATTAACAATGAAGTCATTGCTTTGTTTATGTACTGTTACTATCATAATAACTTTTACCTTCATCTGTTAACAATTTCTTTACTCTGAACAAAGATATTCACAAATATAATACAAGATCATCCTCAAACGTTCATACAATACAGACACGCACTAACTACCAAAAACACTCAGTAAAGTATAAGGGAATATTAGTATGGAACAACTTGACAAAATCCATCACAGACATAAAATCATTCTCTTTATTTAGGAAAAAAATCAAAACTCATTTTCTCCTCAAATAGAAAAAATCTACTGAGCCTGGTATTTTTTCGCTCGCTACTAAGAAACTATGTTACATGTAAACAAGGCAAACAGTCCAAACATTAGATTAAAGAGCTAAATCCAGCTGGAACAAGAGAGAGAAGTCTGACACAGAAGGTTGGCAAGGTGGAGATATACCAGTTACGGTCCCAATTTCTGCTGGCATGTTGATGGTATCAGGGGCGTAGCCAGGATTTTTTCGGGGGTACGCACAATTCTTATTTGAGGCTTATTTGAGAGGGGGGCTTATTTAATTTAAAAACTACGATGGTATCAGTTCTCCATAAAGAACTAGAATACAAAGTGGAAAAGCTCAAGTACAAGACATTTTAGGTCATGCAGCCGAGGACTTGGATCAAATCCGATCTTCCATTTGGTAAATAAACCATCCCGGATCAGTCCACATGAAGTTTTACAGTCGTGAGTAATTAATACAGTCTATCATTTATTGCTGAAGAATAAATAGGGGAGGAGAGGGGGGCTTAATAGAGAGGGAGGGCTTATTAACTTTCTTCCCCTGAAAAGGGGGGCTTATTAGAGGGAGGGGGCTTATTTGAGAGGGGGGGAGGGCTTAATAGAGGATTTACGGTATTGGGCTCATTGCCGTCGCCGTCACCGTCGCCTTCATCGTTGCTCCCGGGATTTATCGATGTGCGTAAACGGTTAGGAATCCGAGCAAGTTTTTAGTAAAAACGCCTTTCATCTTTTCACTAGATATTTATGTTATTCAAGATTCGGTCCATTAATGAACTACTTTGTTTCTCTCAAAACCGACAATTGGGTGGAGAGCGAAAAAAAGTCCGTTGTTTTAGAAAGAAATATATATTTCAAAGAAACAACCAGAGTTGAATGAATTGAGGCAAACTGTGCTCTTAAAATAATTATCTTTAGATACCTTGCTTTCTTTTTAGAATTAACTTTTCATTTTTCATTATCTATTCATTTTACATCTTTTTTGGGCACGGCTTGTTTTAGGTACGCACGTGCGTATCGTGCGTACAGGTATCTATGTCCCTGGGTATGGTTAATTTAGTCGTATCAGTAGTAGTATTAGTAGTAGTAGTAGTAGTAGTTTAACCTTTTTTTAAGTGGTGTCAAACGTTCTAGCGCCAAAAACACACTAATTGGTCACATTATGCTTATAATAAAATAAGTTTGTACAATAAGATGTAAAGGTGATACAAAGGTACTTACAAAGATACTGGTTGCCTAGTAACATATAACAATTAATATTAATAATAATTAAACTAAAGCAGCACAAGTGATTAATTCAACTATTGCAAAAAAGACAGTTTTTACATCCCCCATCTGAAATTAAATTTGCTAAATCTTTTCTTTATACAACGTTTAAAAACACCCAGGCTGTTCTTGTCACTTTCCTCTTTTGTTAGCCTAGACCACAAGAAAGGTCCCAGATATTTCAGAGAGAGTTTCCCGTATTTTACCGTGTTAAAACAAGGCATAGTAAAGTCATAGTATATCACCCTTTTTCTTCCTCCTGAGTTATTTTATTATTTTAAATATGCCTTATTGACCAAGCGTGCGATCTGTTTCAAATTTATCCTTACAATATGATTATAAATGCAAAAGACAAGTTCTGAGAATTAAGAAATGAGCATCAGTGAATTTTTTTCTTACTTCTCCCTGCCAGTGGTAGAGGAAATATGCAGAGACCAGCGAGACCATTAGCTTCTTGTCTGAAGTAACTGTACACGCTGCCAAAGTTCCATTCTCGGTGCTACAATCAATTCTCACAAGGCGTGGACAACCAGCATTTTCTTTTACACATTCAAGAGACCTTAGGGCCGTTATTTGACCTTTCAACTTCCAACCAAAGGATTTTTTACTGTACCCTTCTGCGTCAGACTTCTCTCTCTTGTTCCAGCTGGATTTAGCTCACGAAGAATATTGGTAGCCCTTTCTCTTGGCACATGGATGTGATGATTCAATCTTAGCTAGTGCCACACGGCTCTGTAACCACGAAGTTCGCCGGGACCAGACATTTCCCTTTGCACGATTTCCCTAACTTCGTGATCGCTAACGTCCGCGCTACGTCTGCTGAGACCGTAGTCACGAAGCCGCCGTTTCAAAGTTGAAGGATTCATTGTGACTGCTTGTCGATTATTAAAGGAAATTAACAACAACTTGGTTTTGAAATCCATGGTGAAAACAATGTTCAATTAATCGCCTTACTTCTTTGCTGTCCATTGCATCTGTATCAAGAGTACTAAACATGGCGGCTTGCGAGAACTCAGGCCCCTTTGCGTTTCCTGTTTACTTCCGTTTTGCTTTTTACTTCCGTCTTTCTAATATTTTAATATGTTTTATTTGTTTGTGTTGTCCTTTTTTGTTTGCGTGTTTGTTTAAGTTTTTGTCTTTTTTGCGTTTTCTTTTCTATTTGCGTTTTCTTTTTTATTTGCATTTTCTTTTTTTCATTTGCGTTTTCCTTTTTTTTTATTGCGTTTTATTTTTTTTAATTTGCGGTTTCTTTTTTATTCTGGGCCACCGTCAGCAGCCCATCGTATGTCGATATCATGCTCCGGGTACTTATATGATTGCATGATTTTTAGTTGCAGGCTCTTTTCAATTAATGCTTGTAGGTGTACATCATTATTCATGGTACTGCTGTTGTACGCGCATTCATCATCCTATGTCGATAGACCATGTGTGTAGAAAGGTAGAAAGCTACCAATACATTTCGGACAAACCCATTCTTTATGGTGTGACGATGAGACAACAAAATTTGTCTTAGAGGTGTGTCAACCTTAAAAATAGAAACACTTTATTGAAAACTAACAAACATAACACTAGCCGAAGTGATGGAAATTTGAACTTGTGGCCCCTGAAAAAGGTTGAAGTGAAGAACATCTTGTCTTATTATGACTTTAAAACACTTAAATAATATCTATAGAAAAATTTGGAAACCTTTGCTGCTACAGTTAAATTTTATGAAACTAGGTGACATGACGAAATGTAATTAACACAGTCTGAATAGTGTTGCCTTCTTGATTGTTTATTGCACAGTAAGATAAGATGACAACTGGATTTACGTAAGAAGGTAACAAGTGACAGCAAGAGTGTCAAACGGATGAACTTGTGGCCCTCAAATTTAAACAGCTTAGAATAATACTGATTAACATATAATAATTTATATGATTAAGAAATATGCACGGTAAAAATGAATTATACAACATATTTCATCACTCTATTGCCTTGATTGCTCACAAGTTCAAAGTCTATCAGTTTTATTAGAATTATAAAATTCTTTTAATGAGCAAATTTACGCTCTTCGTATTCCTTTTTAACAATTCTGACACTTGGACCTTTCTCAGATTTATCAGTAATTTATTCCAATCTTTAATTTTTCGTAAAAGTGGTGTCATACTTCTATAAACGCGATAACAACTGCGAAACTGTTCGATAAAGCAAGATTTCCTCTATGTCTATTAAAGCCATGATTTCATTTTATCGAGATCTTTTTCCGCAATGTTCGGGACAAATCTAATTTAAAAATCGGACATGAAAATTATCCGAAAACTGTTAGGTTTTTTTTGATAAGGACCTGAGCACTGGTCACGTGACTTCTTTTTCCATGTGACTAGTGTGTTGATCTGTGAGAGTTGTTGCGTTGTTCGTATGTTAGAGAGAGCACAGAACTTGTAAGTATTTGGTTCGTTTTTCAGTTCTATTTTGCTCTCTACCTACATGTTTTCAATTTTTATTTTAGTTTTCACCGTTTGAGTTGAATGATATGAGAAAAGTTGTGTGTTATATCGAGACGAAAAAAGTAGTAAAAAATGTTGCTAACACCATAGTAATCACGTATGCTGTACTCACAAAGTCTCATTATAAATTTCCTTGCAACTTGACATCATACCTGTAAAAAAAAAAAACATCGACAATGCGTCAGTCTGTCATTCGTTCCAGTTCATGAAGGACGGTGCGCATCATGGCGCATGGCCCTCGAGCGAGTGCGTCGCGCTATTTTGCGCTCTTCAAGTAGTTAATTCCGATCTCTTTAATTCAATCTCTATTTTCAAAGCAAAGCAAAAGAAAAAAAATGGACAAACTAAGAAAAGAAAACTAGAGTTTTTAATGAATTACACAATTTCTGTTAAGCCTGATTCACGTAAACCCGTGCCTGAAAAGAAGAAGATATGTTTAAGTAACCATTTCAATTAAGATATCTTGAAGTGCTCGGTAGCATATTTACCTGTACAATTCTGTTCAGGTCCACTTCTGTAATACCCTTGCCTGCAAACACACCTAAATGATCCTTTAGTGTTTTGGCACAGTGAACTGGTGGCGTTACATTTGTGTTTTCCTGTCTCACACTCGTTTATGTCTGCAAATTAAGAGTTAATGCTGAATTATCAAACTGTAGATCTGTTAAGCATCATAATATGCCGTATACGTTCTTATTTTGACGATGCTTTCATCATTTCAACCTGATTCACCCTACTTAAATCCAACAAAAGAAGAAGACATTTTTAAAGTATCCATTTCAATTGATACCTTGAAGTGCTTGGTGGTATATTTACCTGTACATTTATGTTCATGTCCACTTTTGGAAAAACCCCATATGCAGACACACTTGTAAGATCCTTTAGTGTTATCGCACACTGAACTATCGACGTCACATTGGTGGTTTCCAGTTTTACACTCGTTTATGTCTGCAAATCAAGAGTTAATGCTGAATTATCAACGGGCTTTGTTCGATTTTTGTGTCGATTCTATCCAATGAGGATAGATATATATCATATATTTATAGAATGATAATTTTTTATAGTGGACAAAACAAAAAAGGAAGTTAGAATGAATGCCAAAAAACTAAAAAAATACAAATGATAAACCAAAGTTTTACATGTTACACACTTGGAAAGCTAATTCACTGGGGGAATTTAGCCCGCGAAAAGGAAATTAATTTTGGCGGCTCGAGCAGACAAAGCCGGCGAGAATAATAGTGCTAGGAAATGTGCACGCCCAAATTTCCCTCGAAATCGCACATGTAAGCCTCTTCGCAGGCTACGGGGAATCTGGAGGCTGTAACTAACACCAGACATTTTTCGTGGATACGACCTGTGGGGTGTTGCTTGGTGATGGGGAAACTATTACTGGTTAGCTATTGTTATGTGGTGCAGATATTGTTCAGTGTCTTTTTAATCTTTTGTATTACGTTATTTTGTGGTTGCACCCGTCCACAACACAAAGAAACTACCGATCTGACACATACCACTGACTAAATATGAAACCGGTTTCCAACTTTCTGACTGGCTCTAATCTTTATGGTATGGAATAGCATAAAACTAAGGATTGAACTCCTGTTAGTTAAAGCTCCGTATGGTTTGCTACCTGCACAGTTAACACCATCCCCAGTATATCCAGGCTTACAAGTACAAGTGAAGGAACGCTTGGTATTGGTGCAGTATGCATCATCGTGGCAGTTATGTTGTCCTGTTTTACACTCATCTACAAATCAGCAAGTGGAAGTTAGATATAAGAATTTATTTGACGTAAAGTAATCCACCTGCAAAGCCCGTTTTCACTTTCAGCCTGTCAAGAGTTGTTTAAATTATTTATTTGCGACAGTTCAATTGAGTTCAAATCATTTTAATTTATGAATACTCTTCGTCAAGAGCCATAATAGGACTATTATGGCTCTTGTCTTCGTTCAATGTCACCAACCAGGGCGTGATTTACTAAACAAGTTTGTTAAAGGACTTGAAACGTTAGTCTCAAAACTTCAATAAAAAAACTTTGCACTCCAAAGGACGCATCGTATAGTGCTGCTAGGCTACACTCAGGGGCACCCAAAGGATCTGTTCCTCAAAATATCTGTTCTTCAAGCCAATTTTTGCTGGCTGGGAGATGTGGAAGAAATAATATGTCCTGTCCGAGAGGGGATTTGATGTTTAGAATAGTTACTATGTGTTATGGATCAGATACCCCTCCCCCACCCCTACTGCTGAGGGGTGAATTTTGCCCTATGACCACACCAAAACTGGCCAGTAATGTCTGGACATACGTCTGTTGGGAAACTTCCAGTAAGTCAGGTTGTAGGTTGCCGGTGCACCTTGCTGGCTGGGAACTATTCCGTCAGTCTTTCTGAGAGTGAGGAACAGATTAATTTTTCCTGGCAATCTCTCAAAATGCTTAAAATGGCTTCAGAAAGCTTTATTCACGCTTTGTTGTTGTTTCAAAATTTCCCGTTGGGTGCCCCTTTACACTGTCCAGTCACTTCGGGTTTTGCATTCTCGCCAGGAGGGTAGGCGGGGGGAGGGGGGGGGTACTCCGGATTTCAATTGATAGGAATAGAAAAGAATAATTCTTTATTTAAACACGGTAAAATTCATCAGGAGTATAAAAAATCTTAAATAAACCTAACTACCCTAAACAATATGCAAAACTATATATAACTAGCCTAACTAAAACCTGTTTTTCATCAATGCCGCGAAATTCAGACGAGCCAATCGTTTAAATTGACTTAAAGACTTAGAAACAATACCAATTAACTGCACCGAAGCACATGTACCAACTCCGCGATATGGCCATTACCTTACGCATGCGCACAACCATATCACCCCGGCAGTGGCAGCCATGGACAGCTGTATCTCCCTTTTGGGGCTCATGGTTGTGCACATGCGTACGGTAGTGGCCATACCGGCCGCGGAGTTGATACGTGTGCTTCATTGCAGTTAATTGGTATTGTTTCAAATTTATTTGGGCACACAGGTCAATTTTTTTTATTCCATCTCCATACGCATGCCGTGGGAGAACTGTTTTGCAGTTCCCAACCAATAGCTACCACTTGCTTGTGGTGGAGCTGACGATTAAAGCAGTGCTTGCACTCGCCTCAGCTGTAAATGGTCTTTGATACGCCGGTTACCCCCCGCTAATTAACCCAACGGCTATGCCAAGCTGGTGAGCCCCAATAAGGGCAGCCCAGCTGTCCATGGTTGTCACTGCTCGGGTGATATGGTTGTGCGTATGCATAAGGTACTGGTCATACCGCGGAGATGGTACGTGTGCTTCAGTGTAGTTAATTGGTATTGTTAAAAATTTAGCCCTCTCATATCACGTCTCCGCTTGACTGAAGCTGTTCTTCATGAAGTTAGTTTCCACTCAGTTTGTTAACACAGTCCCTTAGGGAGTAGCGCGTTTCACATCGTTTAACACTTTAGAGGATAAATATCCAGGAACAAGATCATTTAAAGACTTGTGAACCATTAGGGCTTTTGTATTTGAAACTGAGTGCTCAAGTCTTTCCAATTAAGTTGTTTAAATAAGCGGTTGGCATAAGCATCATATCTAGAAAAGGTTAGAACACGAGCAGCACGGTTCTGAAGCTTCTGTAGCCTGTCAAACATAGTTTGTCCACAATTACCCCAGACAATATCGCTATAATCGAATTGAGATTGAATGAGGAGCGTTGTATATACAATGGAGAGTGGGCGTTGGAACAAAAGCTCTTAGGATCTGTCCCTTGAAATCCGGAGTACACCCCCCCCCCCCCCCCCTGGTATCCGCGCCGGATTTTTTTCGTCCCATGAGCGACAACGCTTCCAACGAAGAGAACGGGTGCAGAAATGCATAAATTACTTTGTTCTTTGTATAACAAAAACGACCCCAATTCTCTTTAAGTTATTTTTACTTGTACTTAATTATTCATCCCATGGTTTTTTATCACTCACCTAAACAACTGATTTCAATCTCCCTCATGATCTCTTCCATTTGTTCTCTGTTTCTTTCCTGCTCTTTGATTATCTCCTCTTCTTCTTTATTCCTCGGGACGGGACAAACTGCGAAACAGCAAAACAATAAATGCACAGTAATAAAGGTGGAGCATGATCGTCAGGGTGTAGTCCTGAATAGGACTTTGTCGGGCAGTCATCTTCATAGTCAAAGTCGTTTGTTGTTACAGTCGTTTATTGTTAGTCAAATTGTCTCTTGCCTATAAAGTTACTTCTGTTTTTGTCAGTTTTGCTTGAGTCCGCCATAAGTCGTCTGTGCCCGTTGACCGCCATTCCAGTAGCTTTTGGTCTAATTTAGTAAGCCAGTTTTCTAAGATGAGTACTAGTTTTGGTAGTCTGTAATACGTAATACGTGTCGCAGAGTCCCGGTCGATTTAATGTTTCAGTCTGGAAATGGTGCATGTTCAGCAATAAGTGACTGTTGACATCTCCATTTCTTGTCGCTGGATCGTCGCTGTTAAACTGTGACAAAAGTCCGATCGAAACGACCCGAGTCTTCATAGCCAATAACAACACGGCTTAACTGACACAAGACCAGTCACATCGAGACTTAATTAACCAATCAGGTCGATAACCAGAGTACAATACAGATATCAATATTGACGTTTTTGTACCCGTTGCCGTCGTTGTTGCTTTATAACCTCCCTATTATTAGTGTATTATAAACCTTCGTCACGGTAGTATTGGAACAGGAATAATTATAATTTTATAACAATACAAAAATGAAGATGATGATGATGATAATAATAATAATAATAATAATAATAATAATAATAATAACAATAATAATAGCACGATTTTCTAAGATACAAATTCATTTAAAATCTCTTAAGAAAGTAAAACAGAGGATCAGTCTTGAACGAAGGCGTTTGGCTCGTTTTGAAGTCTTGAACGCACATTTTTTATGTGTAAAAATCACTATTTCATTTGTTTTTTTTTACTTCAGAATGATTTTTTGACGGCTTTCTGTATATGAAACAACAACAGGGTGCTTAAACATAATGCCTACAAACAGGTGCGCAATAAATTTTGGTCCTGATGTCATTAGTCATTACCTCCATGGTTTACAACTTCTTGTGCCATCATCACAGCTGGGAACATGATAAAGGAACTGATAACTACCAATGTTGTCATGTCAGCCATCGTCCAAGCTTGTAAAAATAGAATAATATTGAATAATATTCATTGACATATAAAAATATTAAATAATATTCATGGGCATTTAAAAATGTCAATGAATTTCGTTGGTGAAGGAGAACCGATGCATAACCACTTGTCGGGGTGAGAAGAGGAGGCCCTGGAAAATTGCGGTGGGGCTGTGCGCCGTAATATAATTCCTAAATCCCAAAAAAACAAATTTGACTTTCCTTACTCTGGTCTATTTCAGGTTAAAACTGGGGATAAATTCTCTCCCCCATTTTCAGACCAAAAGGGGTATATAGCTATACAGATTATATACATACCTAACGGGCATAGCTATAATATACTAAGGATTACTAATATAAAATATGGTCCTATCAAGAAGTTATATAGAATAATAACCCTGGGACAACTTAGATAAAGAAGTACCCTCAGGAAATTTATCCGATCGCAGACCATATTCTTGAGTTTATTGGATTGCACTAAAGTCAATGTCAAAAGCCCTGCATTCAAGCTTACTAAGAAAAAGTTGAAACCGCGATTCAAGAACAACTAAAAAAACGAAATATAAGACAGTTTTTTTATCTCCCCGATATTGATGTATTTTTAGAGAAAGATCCAAGCAGCTGCAGGCTCAAATACGTTTGATGTTACTACAATTTTCAGAGCTATTTCCAGTAAATAACCCCCTTTAATTCACTTATTATATAAAATTTATCGTCCCATAGATGCGGAAACCGTGAAATAGAGAAATCAAAACTGGTCATCTAGGCTAACTATAATTACTAACCCTACTGATCCACCAGGCATGCAGTGTAGCTGAGTGCATGAGATCAGACTGAACCCGAGTCTCTCGTAATGCCGATTAATTGATACGTCAATAGAGTCTGCTAACTTGCCTGTTGTTAACATAAGCTTTCAATGATTTTTGTTCTGTATTCATAATAAAAATTCCATGCAATACCCGGTGGTTTTCGTTTATTTTATAGAGGGAGGGCAAAATTATTGTCCGTGATGGGGAAACAAGGGGTTTTTCTCTGTCAAAAATGGCTAAAATCAGTCCACAACCCCACAACAACCTCCCCCCTCGCAACTTCACTTCGTGGATGGGCCCCCGCACTTTGAAAGCTGCTCCGCAGGCCCTGGATACATCAAGCAATTATTGAATTAAAAGATAACAAAATTTAATAACAAAAAAAAAAACAAAGACCGAGATGAAAAGAATTAGAAGATACAATCTGAATTTATCGTATTCGAAAAACACTATTTAAAAATACTGTTTCATTACTCTTTCCTTCAAGGATATATAGTATTCTGATTTAAACTTATGTTCTGTTTCACATCAGTGAAACTGTATAAATTTAGCCTCGAAATAAAGAATAAAAACCTGATAAAAATATGAGGTAAGTAAAACTCCTGTAAAGATGGGATAGAACAGTTTGCGGACGAAAAAGCATGTAGTTTGTACTGAAAAGCACGACAAAGCAACTAAAGGGCTCAGTTATGTTGCAATAAGAGAAACGTGCCATCTTTCGATGCTATACAAAGAAAAACTGATTTTGTTAAAGATTTCGGTCTACACAGTCTTCGCACATCTTTTTAGGCACAGTAAAACCTCACGATGATAGGGAAATTTAGAATGTAAGTCAGTGAAGGCTTTCAAAGTTGACCGTCACAACCTGCAAATTCCTATTCCTTATGATAGACAATTCTCATTTCCAGTCTCGTGCTCCGCCACTTTTAAAACAGTAACTATACTTCAATTACCATATATTTCGTTTTTATAGACTTATATACCGGTAATCGCGAGGTCACGGGTTCAAACCCCGTTGAAGTCCTGAATTTTTTTTTTTCAGGCTTCTTTACGCAATTGCATAAATTGCGTTCACTGCGACGATCATTTCTTCATTTTCATTTCATATCCGCAGTTCATATATGATTTATTTCATATATCATTAACATGTTTATTATTGTTTATGATTTTTAATCATAAGCTGCCTGAAGTATATTTGAAAGTTATTTTGAGCCTGTTTCTAAGATCCATTTCTTTTATATTAGAGATGCCCACTCCAATTATTTTCTTCTCAAATTAAGGCAAATTTTCTGTTCGCTTTACTGGAAATGCTCAGTCGTTGCTACTGGAACGAGTGAATAAATAAAAACAGTATTTTTGTAGGAGTCAATTTAAAGGGAAATTAAGCCGACTATTACAACTGTCAAACTATCTTTGATCTACGAGGGTCTCAATGGGGTTAACCGATAGGCGTAAAACGGCCAAAAATTTAGCCGATAGCCGTAAAAATTGAAAAATTTTAACCGTTAGCCGTAAATAGGGTTAGTCCCTTAGGGAGTAGCGCGTTTCACATCGTTTAACACTTTAGAGGATAAATATCCAGGAACAAGATCATTTAAAGACTTGTGAACCATTAGGGCTTTTGTATTTGAAACTGAGTGCTCAAGTCTTTCCAATTAAGTTGTTTAAATAAGCGGTTGGCATAAGCATCATATCTAGAAAAGGTTAGAACACGAGCAGCACGGTTCTGAAGCTTCTGTAGCCTGTCAAACATAGTTTGTCCACAATTACCCCAGACAATATCGCTATAATCGAATTGAGATTGAATGAGGAGCGTTGTATATACAATGGAGAGTGGGCGTTGGAACAAAAGCTCTTAGGATCTGTCCCTTGAAATCCGGAGTACACCCCCCCCCTCCCCCCCTGGTATCCGCGCCGGATTTTTTTCGTCCCATGAGCGACAACGCTTCCAACGAAGAGAACGGGTGCAGAAATGCATAAATTACTTTGCTCTTTGTATAACAAAAACGACCCCAATTCTCCTTAAGTTATTTTTACTTGTACTTAATTATTCATCCCATGGTTTTTTATCACTCACCTAAACAACTGATTTCAATCTCCCTCATGATCTCTTCCATTTGTTCTCTGTTTCTTTCCTGCTCTTTGATTATCTCCTCTTCTTCTTTATTCCTCGGGACGGGACAAACTGCGAAACAGCAAAACAATAAATGCACAGTAATAAAGGTGGAGCATGATCGTCAGGGTGTAGTCCTGAATAGGACTTTGTCGGGCAGTCATCTTCATAGTCAAAGTCGTTTGTTGTTACAGTCGTTTATTGTTAGTCAAATTGTCTCTTGCCTATAAAGTTACTTCTGTTTTTGTCAGTTTTGCTTGAGTCCGCCATAAGTCGTCTGTGCCCGTTGACCGCCATTCCAGTAGCTTTTGGTCTAATTTAGTAAGCCAGTTTTCTAAGATGAGTACTAGTTTTGGTAGTCTGTAATACGTAATACGTGTCGCAGAGTCCCGGTCGATTTAATGTTTCAGTCTGGAAATGGTGCATGTTCAGCAATAAGTGACTGTTGACATCTCCATTTCTTGTCGCTGGATCGTCGCTGTTAAACTGTGACAAAAGTCCGATCGAAACGACCCGAGTCTTCATAGCCAATAACAACACGGCTTAACTGACACAAGACCAGTCACATCGAGACTTAATTAACCAATCAGGTCGATAACCAGAGTACAATACAGATATCAATATTGACGTTTTTGTACCCGTTGCCGTCGTTGTTGCTTTATAACCTCCCTATTATTAGTGTATTATAAACCTTCGTCACGGTAGTATTGGAACAGGAATAATTATAATTTTATAACAATACAAAAATGAAGATGATGATGATGATAATAATAATAATAATAATAATAATAATAATAATAATAACAATAATAATAGCACGATTTTCTAAGATACAAATTCATTTAAAATCTCTTAAGAAAGTAAAACAGAGGATCAGTCTTGAACGAAGGCGTTTGGCTCGTTTTGAAGTCTTGAACGCACATTTTTTATGTGTAAAAATCACTATTTCATTTGTTTTTTTTTACTTCAGAATGATTTTTTG